GCCGTGGGGCGGGAAGGGGTCAGCGTCCGGCGAGACCTCTCAGGGAGCGAAAATACCGAGGTTCGGGGGCCGAAAATCTCGCCAGCGGTTAACGACTGTCCCCCATCTTACTGATTTTTAAACACCCAAGCGGCGTGCCAGCGAGCTCGGTTACTTCAGAGTCTTTGTCTCTTGGGAGTATCCCAACCTCGGATTAAAAATGGCGTTAAAAGCTGCGGTAATTTGCCTGTGAGTTCGGATCAGCAGTTACTTCACTCTGTAACCGACCTCTTTATATATACCAAATATCCCTAAATTTTGCAGTTTAGAACAGGAGGAACTTCAGAAATAGTACAGTCATTTAGGTATTCTCTTCATGCTTTTGTCTCTTAACCAGATCTTCTAAAGTAAGCGCGTCACTTGCACTTTATGCTTTTATACATCCACATGAAGTTTGACAGTTTTTAAAGCAATGGTTCCAAATACCAACAGTTTTGGTCATGACCCTGTCGCTGCTTGCTGTCAGTAGTACCGAGTGGTCTGCCACACGCCTGCCGGCCCTCAGGTGCCCATCCCACCCCTCGGGTTTCCATCCCGGCCCTCAGGTTTCCATCCCGGCCTTCAGGCGTTCATCCCAGCCCTCGGGTGCCCATCCATCCTGGCCCTCCGGTTTCCATTCCAGCCCCCGGGTGTCCGTCCCAGCCCTCACTAGTGTCCCAGACTCTTGTGGGGAGGTCAGTGGACCCTCTCAGAGGGGCTTGGCCAAATATCTCTGAAGGTGAGCTGCTGAGTGCTTACCCAACAGGCATTCCAGAGCCCCAAACAAGAAAAGTAAGACCTGCGATGGAAGAGTGCAACAGAGGCTGGAAGGCATCATCCTGCAGTTTACATCTGTCCAGTCATGATTTGGATGTCCTACTTTAGATACTACAGAAATATTATAGGAAAAAGACTGTAACTAATTTTAGGTTTAAACTTACAATTCTTAGAACTGCTTTGGTCATGCTATGAAATGAAGACTGATTTGTTTGGTTTTCAGATCAGCTAAACTCTTAATGAGTGCTGGCAGCAGTGAAGAAAATATAGATGACATTATTGATGAAATCTGTAATGACAGCAGCTTCACCAAAGCACCTCTGGTGAGTCGGAGTCTGGAGAAATGCAGAACAGATAAGGCTCGGTGATGGAAAGAAAAGCCCCACAAACTAAAACTTTTAAAGCAAAAAATGGACTAAAGCAAGCTGTAGGGGAAACTTGGAAAATAAAGCAGGAAGGAAAATGCAACAGAGCTGTAGTGAGTAACAGGAGAGATACAAAGAGATGGTCTTACCCAGGCAGTAAGAGGCAATTAAAGGAGATGCCAGTTCAAGACAGAGCATAGTGTCAGATGTCACAGAATTACAAAGTGGTTGAGGTTGGAACGGATCTCTGGAGATCATGTCATCCAACCCCTTGCTGAAGCAGGGCCTCCTAGAGCTGGTTGCTCAGGACCGTTTCCAGCTGACTTTTGAATATCTCTAAGAATGGAGGCTCTACAGCTTCTCTAAGTAACTTGTTCCAGTGTTTGACCACACTTAAAAGATTTTTTTCATATGCTTAACTGGAATTCCTTGTATTTCATTTTGTACGTGTTGCCTCTCCTCCTGTCAGTGGGCCCCACTGAGAAGAGTCTGGCTACATCTTCTTTATTTTTCCCGGTCATGTATTTTTATATGTTGATAAGATTCTCTTGACCCTTGTGTTCTCTGGGATAAAGCTGTCTTAGCCTGTATGTCAGATGGTCCAAGTCCTTAATCACCTTCATAGTCCTTTGCTGGACCCACTTCATTATGTCCATGTCTCGTTTGTATTAGGTACAGCACTCCAGACTTATGAGGCTGTATCAGGAGTACTGTGTTCAGCTCTGGGCTCCCCAGTACAAGAGAGACATGGAAAGCCTCCAGCAAAGGGCTGTGGAGATGGTCAAGGAGTATATTTCATATGAGGAGAGGCTAAATTTGCTGGGCCTGTTCAGTTAGGAGAAGAAAAGGCTCCAGGAAGATTTTACCAATGTGTGTAAATACCTGATGGGTGGAGTAAAGAGGGGACAGACTCTCCTTCTGTAGTGCCCGATCAGGACAGGAGGCCATAGGCACAAACTGAAACACATGAAACTCCATCTGTGCACAAGAAGACCTTTTTTTACTGCAAGAGTGTTCAAACACAGGGACAGGCTGCCCAGAGAGGTTGTGGAGTCTCCATCTGTGGAGATTTTCAAAACCTGACTGGAAACAGTCCTGGGCAAGCTGCTGAAGCTGACCCTGCCTTGAGTGAGTGGTGGTGGCCTAGATGATCTCCAGAGGTCCCTTCCAACCAAAACGATTCTATGATTTTGTCTCACTAATGCTGAGTAGAGAGGAAGAACCACCTCCCTCAGCCTGCTACCAGCGTCCCTTCTAACGTAGCCCAGGATGCTGCTGGCCTCCTGCACTGCAAGGGCACACTGCTGGCTCATGTTCCACCTTTCATTGACCGAATTTCCCACAGCCTTCTCTGCAAAGCTGCTTCCCAGCTGGTCAGCCCTCAGTGTGCTCTGGCGCAGGGGCGGGAGTTTGCGTTTCCCCATAGTGGAACTTCGGTAGATGCCTCTCTCAGCCCTCTCTGCAGTCTGTTGAGGTCCTGCTGGTTAGCAGCATATGACATACCAACCACCGCTCTCTGCTTTATGTCATCTGTAAATGGCTTATTTGGCAGCAGGAGATGGAGATGAAACCACAAATATTCATTTAGGTATCATCAGCAGAAAATTGTGTTATTTATACTTTATAACCCCCCATGCAGATTCTCTTATTATCATGAGTGACGCTCATTTTGCTTTGTTTGTCTTTGATTTCTTACAAAGTGGCTAAATATAAATCAACAAAAAACACTTCTATACCAGAGTACGTTATGTCTGAGAGAGATTTATGTCAGTAAATATATTTAATTTTATCATTTTATACCACTAGGACATCCCATTTAGGATCTGGAATTCTAGTGTTCTAGAATTCAAATAAAGCTGTTTCATGTGCAGCAAATAAGAGTCTTTTCAAAGACTCAATCCTTTTAAATAATGTCTTTGATATGTTTTCAGTAAAACAAAAGCTCAAAAACATTGAGAGAGAAGATTCTGAAATTAAAACTTTTCAAAAGCAAAATTAATAAAAAGAGGGCATGAAGGCTGTTAGTGAGAGGAACTTTGACACTGCAACTTACTTGTGTTTTACACACCACTGTATTTACTAGGTGTTGGGGGATATGGTTTAGGGATGAGCTTTGTTGAGTAGGGTTAATGGTTGGACTCGATGATCCCAAGGGTCTTTTCCAACCTGAATGATTCTATGATTCTATGAAATACTAGGTCTTGATTGTAAAGTCAAAGTGATCCTGTGGTGCTGAATTCCTTCACACAGAGCTGGGAATTCAGTATGGGAAGAGAAGCCTTGTTCCTCTTTTATCTGTTATTCAGCGGCTTTTGTCTCAAAAAACATCACAGAAACCCGAATGAGAAGATTCCCAAATTCTTGGTCCCCTTTTTCTGTGAGATGTTCTGGCTCTTGCTTATTAAGTAAAGCAGAATCTTGTTACCTTACTGTAATGCTGCCTTTTATTCTTTGGTTGCTTTTTAAACAGAAATTGAAGTCTGACTCTGCAAGTCTCACACCCGAAAGACGTAGTGCTGTTGTACAGGCTTATAGGAAAAGGTAAGTGAAAAATGTTTTGGCTACTTGAACATAGCTTGGTTATAGCTTATCATCAGTCAAACAATATTGCTACTGTTTAATCTGTGTTGGCATTAACTAAGAAAGAAACTGAGTATTTAGAGAAGCATTTTTTAAAGGAGAACAGATATAAAGAGAAAGATAATTTTGAAGAATTACTAATGTGCTTTCATGTGATCAAAATGGTTTATCATAAATTTATAAATTATTTAAGTTATTAAATAACAGCCTCCCTTGCCTTGTGGACATACAAAATTATCAAATGCTCCAGTATATAGTCCCATGTATATTTGATACAGAGAGTGGTCATCATATTTTCTTTGAACACCTGGGCAATGAAAATTTAAAAATTCCATAGTTGGAAGAATTTGAATTTTTTGCCTGTATCTAATGAATGTTGGTTTTTTGAAATACCATGCTGTTAAACTAACAGAAGCATTGTACTACTTTATCCAAAATGTTTTGCTATCATTTAATATTTTTTAATGAAATCCACATAGATGCTGTCCAGTGTACCTGGGTGGAAGTTCTTCCCCATATGGCATAGGAACAAATGTTTCAAAAAGGTAGGAGACATGGGAAAAAAAAAGTCCTACTTGCTTTATCATTGTTTTTATTCACAACCGTGTTTCTGTGGTGGTTCAGAGTTCTGCATCTGAACTGAATGAGACAGCCCTATATTCATCTAAGCATGTGGCTGCCTGTAACTGCAGCTGAAGTCAGCTTGTCCCTTCCAGTCCTCTGTTGTTGACCACTAGATCTTTTGTTTGTTTGAGGAGTTGAAAGATGTGTGCAAACAAGACACGAGACTCCAAAAATCAGTAACATGTAGCTAAGGAAATTGGTTTTCCAAGCCTCTCATCAGCTTTCTGTGTGATGCTGAGTATGTGATTTAAATCATTGGGCTGGTTTAAATCATCCCAGAGCCTGAACTGAAATAGCCAGACTGCTTTGCAACTGCAGCTGAACTTAGTAGGAGACGTGCTTTAAATACTTAGGTCCAACATCCTACAAAACATTATTGCGTTTCCATGTGGGATTTTTTGTAGTAAGTAGTTACGCACTTGATGCATATTTGGTTGCCGGTCAGGTGCCATACTAATGAGTAAGACCTCAGAGAATATATCGGGGGAATATCAGTTTATTTTATGTGTTCATTGAGGTTAGGAACCTGTAAAAATAATACATGATCCTATATTTAAAACACATGCCGTAATGAATGTGCTAGAGATGTAAAAAAACCCCCCAAGATTAAAGGATAACCTTGCTTCTAGCATTTCTGGGTGAGCGCTGTACTTTAAAACAGTTGTGATCTGTGCAGCTTCTCTGACTGTAATAAGCTCTTGGAGTTTTCTGTTCTTTTTTTTACCAGAACATGTGATCAACTACGTTGTACTGCTTGTGACTTCCGGGTGTCACTTTTCAATGACTACATCTGGGATCAGTCCTGTGATTACCTTTTTTTCAGGTATGTCTGAGGTGGGTTTGGTGTTAGTATTCCGTTACTGTGCTTTGGGGCTTGACAGGGACAGGAAAGATGAAAAGTCCTGAGTGCTCCTGTGTTACCTGTAAAGGAGCATGTGTGCAACCTGCTTGGTGATGAGGGGGTAAGCCTGTGCGGGAAAGGATGCAACATCTCCCATAATCTGTTTTCATCCCTTTCCATTTCTTTCTCAATCACTCTGCCTCTCTGCTTTTAAAAAAGAATTCAAGTTTCCTGGATCAAAAGGCAACCTTACTGCTGAAATAAGCAGATAATCCATGTGATGGGTTGGCCCTTGGTGTGCAGTTGCAGGATGCCTACAAAATGCACTCAGGCTGTTCAGCACGTGCTTCTCACCGTACCTTCCGTTACAGAGACTGGGACTGTTTCAAGTCAGGTTTTCTTTTGTTTCAGTATCAAATACTGTGCTGTCATGTTCAGTGAAAGTCACATAGTTTGATCTTTTTTAACAGGCTTCTTTTTGAAGCAAGGTTTGATTAAATGGAGAGGTGGGATTTTTCTTTTATTCTTGTCATGTCTTTGACGTTAATTGTTTTGATGTTTTTTGAAGACTTAAAATTAAGGAGTTCCTATTTCCAATTTCTCGAAAACTGTATCTAATGCCAAGATTTGGTGAAGCATAATGGAGTAGGCATGCTCCTAATACAGACATCAAATCTGAATGCCTCTTATTTCAGTAAAGTCTCTGTGTGTGCCCATTAACTAATGGAGGTAGTAGATGTTCTCAGAGTGTGCTCGGCCACCAGGGGCTAGCTAGAGCAGAACAGCAATGGACACATCAGTTCCTTTTCTGTTGTTTTTCTTGTATTGCATGTTAGATTTTTCCCGTTTTTCCTTTCCATTTCAAAATTTATATTTTCTCTGAATGCAAAACTTATTTTCCCATTAAAAATACAGTACTGCACTATTCTCCTGAGATGAGTTTGGTAGCTAGAAAGGTTAAATAAAAATATGATTCTTTCATTTACTCAAAATCTAAATTACTCTGCTTCTGAAATCTTGAGATTAATAAAATTTAAAAAAAAAGACACTAACGGCGTTAGTACGTTAGTATCAGAGACACGTGACGATTAAAATCTGTACTCTTTAGCAAGATATTTAGCTATTTATTTCGGCTAACCTGAATTTCAAAAAGCAAAGTTGAAGATTAAACATTTGCATTCCATGGATAGATGTCTGACCTCTTTTTCTAAAAATTCTTCCATTGATGTTTACTTTGGGTTTTCTTTATTTAGCTGGGCTTGTTAATGTTGGTTTTGAGCGATTCAGTGGCCAGTAATTGATGGCCAGGAGAAGGTCATGAGAGCAGGGATAGTTAGAATGCTAAATTTACACTTGTTTTTTTGAAAAAAAACTTGGTTTTGTAACAGCCATGCTGATTTTTCATTGGTTGTGGTTGATGCTTGCACAGGAATTATTTGTGGTTTGATGTACGTTCTTCCCTCTTAGGGCCATTTCATTTCAGTTACTTTTAACAACTACCCTGAATAACAGTTCCTGGTGAAGAGCTTAACTCTGTTGTGGTACCCATTTTGCGTAGGGATTTTACAGTAAGTTTGATAAGCTAAATACATTTTTTGATAGTTTAATAACATGAGAATTAAATCTAGCTGATTTTCCTCCCAACTCTTTGTCTGGAGTCTCACACAGGGTCTCTGAACCCAACAGAGAATTTTTCTAACAGAAACCTCAGTCTCCAGGTGATCTGAAAATACAGCAACTATGCACCAAGACTGCTCTTGGGAAGGGATCGTGTTCAAAACAGAATTTAAACATATCCATAAATTCATTCGTAGCAGGGATACTCAGAAATGTTCTTAAGAGCTTTTCTGAGTTGAAGTGGCCTCATGAACCCTTTTTCTTTAAAAAGAAAAAAATAGAAAAAGCATGATCCTAAACTGAGTTCACTTGGTTGGCAGGAATAACATGCCTGAGCTCAGTAAACTAAGAGCGAAGATGATAAAGAAGAAAGGAGCACGGGCGTATGCTTGTCAGTGCAGCTGGAGATCCATCGATGAATTAACTGACCTCCAAACAGAGCAGCAGCTTCGATGGGTTTGTGGTAAACATGCAGAATGAAGTCCTTTCATGTGTGGTTACGACTTGTACAGAAACAGGGCTTGATTTGTTTCCCCCACAGTTTTCTGAGAAGAGATGGAAACCTGAGTACTGGTATCTAGAAATAGATTGTAACACCGAGACTTAAAACCTGAAAACTTTTTTTTTTCCAACGTAACCATTTTGCAAGCAATGTGGAGAGTTGAATTATTAGGAGAAACAACCAGTTTGGAGGCTTTCCGGAAGCTGAATGAGCTTAAAACTCGTGCTTGGGTTAAAGAAAGGAAAAGGAAATCAACAGATTTAGGCATGGAATAAAGCTCCTTGAGACTGTTCCTCATGTCTAGCAGAGAGCTGTGTTTCCCATGTCTGCAGAATCTTGGACTCGAAATGGTGAGTTGGGATGCAGCCATGACACACAAGCATATGAATTTCTGCACGAAAATTAATACCACTGTTCTGTTTTACTCGTAGCTGTTAATGAGCAAGTGGTTGTAGATCCCTTAAAAAAAATTATTTTGACATCAGCTCTCACCTCGAAGGTTTCAGCACACCCCCAAAACTTTACTTTCTTTTACCCACCAGTAGCCAAAAATTGCAGGTGTTAGAAATTTCCTTCCAGTTCCTACTGCTTTCTTCCAAGCACTTTCTGCTGACTAAATACTTTTACCAAAGCGAATTTCTTGGACTTCCCTTCAGCCTTCACTGCAAGAGGTGAACAAGTTATTGTGCAATTATTAAATACTGTGCAATTTTTTTAAAGAGAGGAGTACATGAATCTTTATCAATAATTTCAAGGGGAAAGGGGCTCAGGCTTTTAAGAGTGAGAAAATATATATCCCCACTGACATTCACATTTGGAATTTTTCAGTTTCACTTCACTTTCGTTTCCGCTTCACTTCAAAATACCGCGTATTCAGAAAGTGTAACTGTCCTGTTTCAGCATGCTCCCTTCCCCCAGTAACACCGTAAAACTACTTCCAATATCGTGTTACTCAGTGAACTGTCTTGATTCCAGTTAATGTCACTGTAGTTTATGAACTCTTTCTTTTCATTGTGTATAAATAACACAGGAGATGGATTTGGAGTTTGGGCGGGCAGAGAGGAAGGAAGGGATTACCAGACCTGGCAATTACTACATTGAAAAGTGTCTCAGAATGGGAAGTCTGTCAGTATTTTTGCTATGCAGCATTTGATACTGTACATGTAAATGCAAAATTACTTTGTGCAATTCTAGCTATACAGACACATTTATTTTTTTACGTGTGTGAAATTTTACTCATGGCCCTAATCTGTGCAGCTTTGTTTTTTCTTTTTCTGAGCTTTTTCAAAACAATTACATGGTCTTTCTCATAGAGTTCATCTCTCAAATCTATCACTTTGTTGGTACTGTTCTGAAAGAGGAGATCCCAGTAGTGACTAGAAGCATAATGTGCTGCTCACCTTCCCCCTCCGTGAGTGCTTTTTTAGAACCTGCAGAGGATCAGCAGCGTGCCAGGCAGATCTGCCAGTGTTTACGTATGCGTTGCTTCAGTACTCTAGAGTGTGTGTTCCCGTGCCACGTTGGGGCCTTGCTAGTAGGTTCAGAGGTGAATTGGCTTTGGAGATGTATGACTCGGCATAATGGCGTAGACATTGTTAGGGTCATACATGTTTTTCAATGCAATTGGTGTTTCAGGTTGAAGTTTCACCTGTTAGAGTGTAAAACTTCAGGTTCAGGAGACGAGAGACCCAGAGATCACTTGATTTATGCTCAATCAGCTACCAGAAGGTCTGCTTGCTTTTCTGTTCTTTGTAAAGAGATAGCTTCTGTGTGGACTCTAAACAATAAGTGTTCCTCTGTCCCTGGAGGCATTCAAGGTCAGGCTTGATGGGGCTCTGAGCAGCCTGATCTAGTTAAAGATGTCCCTGCTCACTACAGGGCAGTTGGACTAGATGACCTTTAAAAGTCCCTTGCAGCCCAGCACATTCTATGATTCTATGATTCTGTGGTCACCTGAGCAATTTTCATTCCCGGAGAACATCTGGGAAGAGAAGAACCCAGCAGTAGTATGTAATTTATTAACAAGCTTTAGAGAAGAAGAAAACTACTTATCCTTCTTCTTCTTGAAGACAAATACATTTCAAAGTGCTGAGTTGCCTTGGCATGCTTGTTCCAAAGCTGTTTAAAACTTATGGCCAAGTAGCCCCACAGGATGCTCTTTTGGCCTGGATTTGGATTGGAACTTGTGCCACGATGCGGAAACAGGTTAAGCCTCCAACTTGTGAGCAGGAAACAAGGAAAATCCTAACACCCATCTCAGTTCATTAGTCCAGGTCTTACGTGACTTGGAAAAGGAGCACATCTCCGGTGCCGTTTTAAACAACCCCACAGAAATAGTCACCCCTTCCGGAACCGTTTGCACTAGTAAGCATGTGGAGCAAATCATGCAGAAACAAAAGTTCGAGACATCCCTTCTGGTGATTTGTATGACAAGAGGACAGCCTGTAACACTTGAGAAGTGGGATCTAGGAAGGAATTGAAACAAAAGGACTAAAAGTGTAGGAGAGGTAAGAAGGATTAACACCACTAGCTATGGACAACTTTAGTCAGCGTTTCTCCTAGGTCATCCCTCAACTCTTCTGTTAGCCTGGAGAGTTGTAGAAAGAGACCTCTCTTTCTGGTTGGTTTTCAGGCAATTGTGTCACTAATGCCATTAAGACTGCGCTCCAAGCACTGAAAACGTTAGAAGATAATCTTTATTGATTAATCTGTGTGGAAACCTGAGCATTCCCCTGAAATTATCATGTTTATTCAAGTGTAATTGCTTGTTTCTGGCCTGGGTCAGAATGGTGGGAATATGACACCTCTTGGAACAAGTGAATTTTTAAATGGGTGCAGAAATAGTGTTTATTGTACTCGTTTTCATTACAGAGTTTAGCGTATTTCTAGATCTGAGAATAGTTACTATGTCATTAAATATAATTATTTTGTTGGAAGGAGGAGTGGTATTAAGTATTTGATTCCTCTTCTTTTGCTTTCTTCAGTTACACATTGCAAATCACTCCAAAGTCCTCAGATGAACAGAATGTAAAGAAAGGTAAAATTATGGAGCTTGAACGTCCATTTGATGAAGGTATTGTAAGATTGCACAAGGTTTTCAAGATTTAGCCCAGACTTCCATGTCAGTGAGATAGCAGGGATTACGTAAAGAATTTTGTTTAACAATGCGGTTCCTCTGTGTTCAAACAGAAGCATTGGAGGACAGTTCTGCAAAGTATAAATGTGACCATTGTTTTCCTTCACTTTTTGCTCTGAAAGTTAATACTACCATTTCTGTTGTGAAATGGGCAAGGTGAAAACTTGAGACTTTCATTTTGCTGAGGTGATATGCCTGGAAATTTCCTAGACCATGCCATTAGTGTGCAGCAGATCCCTCAACAAAACAAAAGCAATGAAGGATGACAAGATGAAAATCAACACAAAAGCATTCACTTGGAAAGGTAGTCATTGGTTTAATGTCAAACCAACTTTTCTAAATCTGTGTTCCTGCAGTACTTCTGGATAGGAATCCAATTCAGATGTGCATAGTACATTTTTATAGCTTTTCTTTATGACATTTTAATGTGCCGTTCTGACTGTATCTCATTTTACATGCAAGCTATGGAGGGTGTCCAACCCAGATGCTGAACATAGTTCAGAAGAGTAATTATTAAGGATCTTGCCCTGCTATAAAATTTGACTTAGAGAAGCATAATAGCATTACATATTGCAAGCTCTGCACTGTATAAAATTGAATAAAGATTTCTTTATTTTTCTGAGCACCCATTTCAGTTTTGTACTCAAGGTATTCTGCAAATGCTGGGCACTGGAGACTGCCACTTGTTGAAAGACTGCTCACTTCTCTCGTTTCCTGACATGTGAGTCTTTGGGTCACGTAACCAGTGCGTGTGGTAGTCACACAGTAGGAGAGGGACCGTGTCAAGAGCTGCATAGGCAAATTTTTCTTCCTTCCAGGCTCTTTTTACACCAGACATGACCAGTTTTGTCTGTTGCGTGACACCCAATAACCACAGACAGACCAACCTGTAGGGGATGGAGTAAAGGAGTACCAGGTGCTGCCTGTTTGTGAGGGCAGTCGGCGTGTGTGCTGTGGGGGAAGTATTTTTTGAACGCTGACAATTCAATAAAATGAAAAGTTGGAACAAATCTGAATTGTGTGTTGTGTAAATTCTATTGCATTGTTCCTATCCAAGAGAAGCCTTATAAAAATCATGTAGGACCGTGTGTTTTTGCTCTCTTTGAAGGTTTGTGAAATGTCTGTAGTACAAAAATGCTGTCCAACTCATAAGAAAAAACAAATACTGTCTTGTGGGTTTTCTCACATCAGTGGGGATGCAGCAAATACTTGACATTTAAATGAGCTTTAACATTCTTTACCAGAAAGCATGAGCAGAGCACATGAAATTGTAGAGAGCTCCTGGGGGTGGATGCATCTACCACATTTCTTGGATTTTTCCCTAGGGTAAAAGGTGGAGCTAGCTGCTGTGAAAGGGAGCATGTAGCTACACTTGTTGCCGAGTGGGAGGCTGGTACCTTTGTGTGTCAGACAAGGCAGGTTATCGCTGGCATCGTACTGGTCACTTCGAAGAGGGAGAACGGTGAGGGAATCACGAGCATTTGCTCTCTTCTGGATCTTGCTGTAGAAAGATGTTCCAAGTACTAAGAAGAAGTTGCTCTGCATGTGGGAGCTGGAACAACTGTTGCTTCTCCATAAACGCGGCATGATATACATACACAGAGTAACAGGCATAAATATTTCCTGTATTCCAACATTCTAAATTTGGACTCGAGGTGTTGGTGCAATGCAGGCAATAACCCAGCTTAGTGAGCTGTGTGGGCTCGGTGAGAACATTCAAAAAACACCCACTGCCTCAGGAGCACCACTCACTTATTTACGACTTGTAGTGTCACAGTTCACCGTTAGAAGGCGGTGCCCCGTGTATGTTTAATTCACTTTGACAACTTTTATTCTGCCTGT